GGCATTTTGAAAGAACTCTACTAGTGTCAGAAATGCTCACACAACATTCCAGTGTGGTAGGTGGTCTTTAAATGGCTACCAGTGGTCCAGACCTGCTGGTATCACACCTTTGTGTAATCCCCTCCCTTTGAGGGTGACTGGGCCCAGTGACAGGGCTTTTGGTGAATAGAATACAGCAAAAGTCATGGGATGTCACTTCCTAGATTAGGATACAAAAAGACTGACCTCCATCCTGCTTGCCTACCACCCTCCTCTTAGAGCCCTGGCTCTAGTGGAAGCTAACTGTCATGTGGTGAGTAGTTCTCTAGAGAGGTCCTTGTGGCAAGGAACTGATGTCTGTGACCAGCAGCACCTGACTTGCAGCCTTCTGAGAATCCCTGCCCCAGTGGAGCCAGCTAAGCCACCTACTAAAGCTGTGATATAGTAAATAAATAAAATCTTTTAAAAATAAAAATACAAAATGAAAAGATAAACTTATATCTTGAATAATAATAATAGTATTTAAAGTTTCCCAAATAATTACATATTGTATATTAGCATTTTCTCAACTGTGTTATATTTGCATAGATAAAAGATTAGAAAGAAATTTGCCAGAATGTCAGTTAGCAGGGGTGGTTTTTATGTGGTAGAATTTGGGGAATTTTTAATGTTTTAGAAAATTCAGAAGTGTTTCTAAAATGATTGTTTTTCTTTTATAAAAAAAAAAAACTTAAAAAAATTTTTAAGTAATCTCTACACCCAATGTAGGCTTGAACTCATGACCCCAAGATCAACAGTCACAACTTCTGACTAAGCCAGCCAGGCACCACTATAAATAATTTTTAATAAGAGAAGAGGCATTTAAGAATAGCCTAGTTCTGATGGTGTCTATCTGTGGCTCATTTTATCCCACCATGGGACCTAGGGCAGGCCAGGGGAGCAGGGCAGACACCCTCGCCTCTGCCCAGACTGGCACCCTCTTTGTTTGCCCAACCTGATATGGCCCTGTGGTCTTGGTGCTTTTTCTTTCCATGTTATCTTGGGGCATGATTCCTTTATCTTGGGCAAACTAACTGATGAATGGTGACGCGCGTATGTCAGTGAGAAGTGCATGAATGTAGAAATGGAAGAATGTTAATAAAGAGTCTTACACATAAATAATAGCCATAGCTCATTTGTGTGCCATTGAGCTTCACGGGAGCCATTCTGCATGTTCTTGCAAAATCTCCCCAACCTCCAGTTTACAGATGAGGAAACAGACTCACAAAAGCTCTATGCGTGACCTTGTCTGTGTTCCTATGTGGGCATCTATGAAGTTTGCAGATGTTGTGTCCCCAGTCCATCACCAAGTTCTGCTAAATAGTACCCCCTAAGTAGCTCTCCACTGTCCCCTTCTCACTACCGACACTAGTACCTCCCCAGTCAAGCCCCATAGCAGTGGCCTCCTAACTGATATCCTTCAGACTTTCTGCACCCTCTGATTCTCTCTTTAACAGGCAGAGTGATCTTTTGCAAATTTAAAGCCAAACATGTCAGCTTATCCCATCACTGTTACTTAAGATTTTGCTGTGACTCCCAATGCTCTTAGGATAGGGACAAAAATTCCTTAATGGAATTTTATTTTTTTAATTTTATCATTTTTTAGAAGATTTTATTTATTCATGAGAGACACACACAGAGAGAGGTGGGGGCAGAGACACAGGCAGAGGGAGAAGCAGGCTCCATGCAGGCAGCCCGACGTGGGACTCGATCCGGGTCTCCAGGATCACACCCCGGGCTGAAAGCAGTGCTAAACCGCTGAGCCACCTGGGCTGCCTGATAATTTTTTTCTTCTTTTTATACAATACCTATTGGTAGACCAAGAAACTAGTGTTCTATAAAATATACTTCGGGGCAAATTTCTTTTTTTTAAGATTTTATTTATTTATTTATGAGAGACACATACAGAGAGAGAGAGAGAGAGAGAGAGAGAGAGAGGCAGAGCCATAGGCAAAGGGAGAAGACATAGGACTCAATCCTGGGTCTCCAGGATCACGCCCTGGGCTGAAGGTGGCGCTAAACCACTGAGCCACCCAGGCTGTCCTAATTTTAACCTTAATATGGATCACAGGACCCTGTGTAGATACCTCTGTCCCTTCTGCCTCAGAACTTGTGTTTCCCTCCCTCCTCTCTCTGTTCTAGTCCCATTGACCTTTTAGTCCTTGTATTCGGTGTCTCCCTCCTGCCACAGGGCCTTTGCATTTGCTCTGAGTTCTGCCAGATTCACTTCTGCTGGTCTCTGTGCCTAGTTAACTTCTATTCATCCTTCAGAATTCAAATCAGACTCTTACCACTTGCTAGGTCACATCCTCAGTAGACATTCTTATAGTACCTTTGGCCTTTTTTTTTTTTCAGATCACTGAATGCAATTGTAGCTTTACATTTATCTGATTGGTTGATTAACATTTGTTTATTTTTACACTAGACTATAAGTTCCATGAAGGGAGGAACAGAGTTTCTTTCGATCACCAATCCCCAGGATGGAACATAATGCTTGGCCTACTAGAGGAGCTCATAAAATCTTTGTTATTAAGTGAAAGAGGTAATGAATGAACAAAACCCATTGAGTCTTCTGATCTGGTTCCTTTTCCTGAAAGGACTCCCAAACTCTTCACAAGACAGGAAACAGAAGATGGAGGGAACTATCATAATAATGCCTGCCCATCACAGAGTATAACAGGTCATCAAAATAACAGCTGAGTCTACAGGCTGCATTCTAGAGGCCACCCTACCACCACTCATTTCTACCCTCTTCCAAAGAAGCCCAGGAAGGAAACCACTGCAGAAAAATCTGTCAGCAAGCCTTTGGAAGACAGAGCTTCACCAGGAAGGCAGAGAATGAGGAGACAAAGAAAGGAAGGGAATGGATTTCTACTGAGAAGGGACTCTGTATTTGGATATTATATATATCAACTCATTTAATTCCACCCCCCCCAAAAAAAAACGCTTTGTTGCAGATGAGAAAATGGACTCAAAGAGGTTGTGAAATGTGAAGGTTACATAAAGCCAATACATGGCAAAAAGCTGAGTTTGAACTCAGATCTGTCAGCCTTCCTCCAAAGTCTGGGCTTTTCAGGCTACTTTCATGGCGTGCAGCCCTCAAACACCTCCCCACTCTGTCAACTTAGAGCCCCAAAGCTTTTCATCATTAAAGACTCATCATATTGGAGGTACCTGAGTGGCTCAGTCAGTTAAGCATCTGACTCGGTTTCGGCTCAAGTCATGATCTCATAGCGTGCATACTCTCTCAAATAAATCTTAAAAAGCAAAAGACTCATCTGTTAGTTATTATCTAAAGCTCTCTTTCAGGAGTCAGTGTAGGATGGTTTTGGTCAATATATTGGAAACAAACTCAACATTTTATTTTTTTTTAAAGATTTTACTTATTTATTTGACAGAGTGAGCAAGCGAGCATAAGCAGGGGGAATGGTAGAGGCAGAGGGAACGGGAGAAGCAGGCTCCCCGCTGAGCAGGGAGCCTGATATGGGGCTCGATCTCAGGGTCTTGGGATCATGACCTGAGCTGAAAGCAGATGCTTAACTGACTAAGACACCAGGTCCCCAGAAACTCAACATTTTAAAGGAAACTAATTACTGCAAGACTTAAAAAGAAATATATTAACAAAAATTGGAATGTAGAAAGTAAAAGGGGATGATGAAGTTAATTTCCCATTCCTATTGAGGAGACAAGAGATACTGTTTAGAATGGAGGGGTGACAAATATATGATATTACACAAAGGGATAAATGTTGATCACAGGGGAATTAAAACAGAAGCTGTTGGTGGTGTTGCTTCTGGGGAGTAGAGCTGGGGAGAGGAGAAAAACTTCCATTTTTTGTTCATTTGTCCTTCTGAGCTGTTCATCTTATTAAAAATGACAGTGTTTTTCTGTAACTTTTCTAAAAAGTTTAGAAATTTTTGTTACAGGGTACCTGGGTGGTGCAGTCGAGTACCCTACTCTTGATTTCAGCTTGGATGGTGATCTCAGGGTCCTGGGATTGAGTCCCGCATCAGGCTCCTCACTCAGTGGAGAATCTGCTTGGGGTTCTCTCTCTCCCTCTCCCTCTCCTGCTCATTCTCTCTCTCTCTCAAAATTAATAATCTTTTTAAGATTTTATTTTATCCATGAGAGACACACACATAGAGAGAGGCAGAGACACAGGCAGAGGGAGAAGCAGGCTCCATGCAGGGAGCCTGATGCAAGACTCGATCCCGGGACTCCAGGATGAAGGCAGGCGCTCACCTGCTGAGCCACCCAGGAATCCCCCAAATTAATAAATCTTTAAAAAAGACAGTTTTTGTTATAAAAGACTAAACAAACATACATTTCCTTTACGATGCAAGTACTATATGTTTAGAACTAGTAGTCTTGTCACCTGGGTAAAAGTTAGGTCTGCAGGTTTCCTCAGTATCAGGAAGAAGAGTCAGGGGAGAGTCACGTGACGATCAACATGGCTTCCCAAGCAGTTGCTTCTAGGGAATGGGCCTGGTAGACAAGCTTGATTGATCTACCTTTGCAAGCACAGGACCAGGCTGACAGAGGAGCACCTCTTCCCTCACTTATTCATAAGGCAGCTCACGTTCAGACACACCCAGACACAAGAGGGTACTGATCTCCGATGAGGGCCAAGGATAGCCATTCGTCCAACTATGCCTGGTGACACTCAGGCCCCATCAGTGCCACCCTCAGAGCAGGAACTCCTACCTGCTCAGGACCCTGCTCCGGCAGGATCTATGGACTCCAGTTCCTCTTGACCCAGGTGGATCTAGTCCTAGACTAGATCTGCCATCAGGCTCCCAGGTGAGTGTGACTCCGGTCTTGTTCACAACTGGCCATAGAGCACCAATCAGAGCCTTGCACCCCTCAGAACCCAAGGGTCCCTACTTCCTCCCAAGGCATGGGAGGCTCTTGACCTTTGCTTATCAGAAGTGTTAATCACTTTGGGCTCTAGTAGCTGCAAAAAAAGAGGGCTAGGGCACAGCTCAGGAGTGCCTCTCACTGGCAGCAAAGAGCCAAGAGACTGACATTCCCAGTGCCAGAAAGTCCTATTGATCTTTGACCCTCTGCTCCTCCTCCTTCCTTTCTTCCCTGCTGGCCTCTCCCTCTGTTCTCTGTCTCCTCACTTCCTTGACACCCTTGCTCTGACCGGTGGTGTTTCCCAGATCCTTGCTCACGCCAACCCTTCTTCCATGCTGTCTTCAAGCCCTACTTCTTGCACATCTCCCAGCCCTGATGGGGAGAACCCAATTAAGAAGGTCCAGTGGACTTCTGGGAGGAGGAGGACGTCATCCACAGACTCAGAGTCAAAGTCCCATCTCGACCCCTCTAAAGTGCCCAGGTCCCGGAGACCCAGCCGCCTGACGGTGAAATATGACCGGGGCCAGCTCCAACGCTGGGTGGAGATGGAGCAATGGGTGGATGCCCAGGTTCAGGAGCTCTTCCAGGTGAGTGACAGTGAGGCAGCAAGGGAGAAGGCAGGGTGCCTGGGACAGAGCCTGCTGGGAGACCTCAGGAGGAGCTGGAGGGCCAATGTGAGATGCTCCCATGGAGAGAAAGCTTCTCCTAACAGGTGAAGATAGATTTGCAGTCCCAAAATCTGCCTCCCTCTGGTCTGGGCTCTGCCTCTAATGCTCTTCAAAATCTGGGCCAGGTCTTTTTAACATTCCCGAGACTTAGTTTCCTAATCTATAAAATGAACCTATCAATGCCTGTCATATCTCTTTTGTGGGATTTTTTTTTTGAAGTTCAAATGAGATAGAAGAGCTATTTTTATTTATTTTATGTCTTACTCTCATCCTCAACACACATACATGTCGAGAGCTACATTGTCAAATACTATCGTTATCAGCCATGTGTAGCTATTTACCTTCCAATTAATAAAACAATAAGTTCAGTCCCTTGGTGACACTGGCCACGTTTCAAATGCCGATAGTCCCATGTGGCGAGTGGCTGCCATATTGTCAGCATGTATATAGAGTATTTCCTTCCCTTCAGAATGGACAGCTCTGGACTAGAATGAGCCCTTGGCCCTGGCTCTGACTGACTCCTCTCACCTCCCCCTGAGAAAAGGACGGGTCTCTGCCCTTTGTCACGAGAAATGGCACCTTTTTCCTCAGATAACTAAAGATCGGGATCCTAAAATAGTAACAACTGCTGTTTCTACAATGGGAATAACATTCTGGGGGGAGCCTGGGTGGCTCAGTCAGGTAAGTGTCTGCCTTGGGCTCAGGTCATGATCTCAGCCTCCTGGGATTGAGTCCTGCATTGAGCTTCCTGCTCAGCAGGGAACATGCTTCTCCCTCTCCTCCCTGCTCATCGTGTTCTAACTAGGTATCTCTGTGACTATCTCTCTCTCTCTCTCAAATAAATAAAATCTTTAAAAAAAGAGAGAGAGAGGGCAGCCCTGGTGGTGCAGCGGTTTGGCGCTGCCTGCAGCCTGGGGTGTGATCCTGGAGACCCAGGATCGAGTCCCACATCGGGCTCCCTGCGTGGAGCCTGCTTCTCCCTCTGCCTGTGTCTCTGCCCCTCTCTCTCTCTGTGTCTATGAATAAATAAATAAAATCTTAAAAGAGAGAGAGAGAGAGAGAATAACATTCTGAACACTTAGTTCTGTGTTAGGCATGGTGCCTAGCACTTGACATGCATTACGCATTCGGCTGTCCCCCCCACTCCCTTAGATGGATATGTTTTACCATGGAGGAAATGGAAGCTTGAGATGTTGAGTAACAAGCCCAAGGTCACACAACCAGGAGACCGGGAGCTGGGGCTCTGCCTGCGGAACCTGGGCATTTAGGTAAACAGCTTAGTGGGTCTCCACCCCTGAGGTACTTCAGAAAAAGCCTGATGACCTGACTGCACCCCAACTGACTAAATAAATCTATTAAGGTGGGGCCTAGACATTTGTCTTTCTTTATAATCTCCACAGTTAATTCTAGCATGTGGCTGGCTGAGAACACTGCGCCAAGCCAGAGACCAGGAGTCCTCCTTGTCTACATACCGTGGGTCCTTCTTTCGCCTCCTTCCTGACTCCATTCCTATCTTTTCTTTTCGGGGACAGTGGGGGAGCTTGTCACATTTCCAGGTAAGGGCTGTGTCGGTGGCCCTGCTGTTGGGGGTGGAGAAGAATGATGCATGTGTCCCGGACTGTCTTGTGAAGCTCACTGGGTCATGTGTTAGTTTGGTCCAGGTGTCGACCATGTCCTCTGCCGTGTCCTGGGCTCACTTGTGCAGGATAGGTAGGGAGATGCTCTTGAGCTGGGCGCAGGAGAGGCATGCTTTTTTGACTTGCTTCTGCTCTGCCTCCACTGCCAGCACCCTCCCTCTCCGGATCAGTCTCAGTTTCAGACTGTTGGGCACTTGCATAAAAAGTCTCATATTTCAGACACCTCAGAGCAAACTTTCTAGGCATCATAGAAAGACACTAGGCAAAGCACCAGGTTTTGCAAGATCAACACCGGGCGGGGGGAGAGCAATATAATAAAGAGCTCATCCTGTTGGAAAACAGGATATGTGGGAGGACCACTCCCAGGCAATGACGGAAATAAAATACCTGGCCTGTGGTTGCCATGGCAATTGTCCAAAGGTGCCAGGCAGCAGTTCCTCTCCCAATCCCTGCTCTTTTCAGCAGGAAGCAGCCAAGTGGTGGGGGAAGCCCCAGGTGGCTGGTCATCTTGGGAGAGATTGAGGCAACAGTGTCTCCAGGCTTAGCCTGACCCAGTTTTACCTTCATAGAGCCTGTCTCCACCCAGCAGGCTCTCCCCAACATACCCACCTTGGATAGCAGTGCTGGCAATGGTTGCAGGGATGCATTGATACGTGTTCAGTTCGATTTGATGGAATCCAACCTTACTTTGTTGGAGGGCCCCACCTCTTCTCACTGGATGTGCAACCTTCTCTGAGGTCTTCAGAGGAACCGAGTCTGGGTTCAACAAAACAAACAGACTTGGGGCCTTAGAATTCCTATTGTCCAAAGGTGGAGTGTGGATTTGGCTCTGAGCAAGGATAAAAACACTAATGAGTTTTTGCCAAGGGCACCAATCACTGTACAGGATATTGTCGACCACTCTGGAGTTTTGAAAACATTCCTTTCCTATAGATTCTATGATAGCATCTTTTCCTGGTAGCAGCTGGCATTTTGATGTAGCCCTTCTGATGTGATGACATCTTAAGAAACAATCTATTAGACTTCCAATTTTATTTTTAAAAATATTTTATTATTTATTCATGAGAGACACACACAGAGAGAGAGAGAGAGAGAGAGAGGCAGAGACACAGGCAGAGGGAGAAGCAGGCTCCATGCAAGGAGCCTGATGTGGGACTCCATCCCGGGTCTCCAGGATCAGGCCCTGGACTGAAGGCGGCGCTAAACCGCTGAGCCACCCGGACTGCCCCAGACATCCAACTTTAAAAAAGTATGGTTAACGAACACATGAAACAGACACTTGTTAGCTCCTCCCTGAGCCTTGCTCCATTGCTGGTTCTCAAGGCAGAGAGTTCAGGAGGAAGGGGACTGAGTATAGAGTGAAGGTTAGAAAGCAGTCAAATCAGGCAGCATCTGGCAGGAAACCGCTATATGAAATATTGAGTCACAATTTTACACTTGTTCATTTCAGCAGGAGTCATTTGATATATCCACTCATTTTCTGAGAATTCAAAAAATACTTGAGGGAAAGAATATCTGGTTTATAAAAAAAAATAAAATCTGGCTTATGATATCAGCTCATAGTCTCAACTTCAGACTGTAGCTGCAATCTCTCAGTAATATGCATACCTTTACATGTGGATAATATCATAAGTGATGTGAAAAGGTTTTTTGGGGGGCCAGACTAGTACTTTTTATTTTTGTTTTTTTTTTTAGAGGTTTTATTTATTTATTCATGAGAGACACAGAGAAAAAGGCAGAAACACAGGCAGAGGGAGAAGCAGGCTCGCTGCAAGGAGACCAACATGGGACTTGATCCCAAGACCCCAGGATCACGACCTGAGCCAAAGGCAGACGCTCAACCACTGAGCTACCCAGGAGCCCTCAAATTAGTACTTTTTTAGAGGTAGAATTCTAGTAATTAGAATGCAGCTTTACTATTCAGCCCCCTGCTCCACCTTCTGAGATTCCAATTGCATATATGTTAGACCACTTGATATCATACCACAGGTCATCAAAGCTCTGTTCACTTCTTCCTCTCCCTTGCCTGCCCCCTGTGAAGGTTTTTTTCTCTCTGTGTTTCATTTTGACTAGTTTCTGTCACTGTATCTTTAAGTTCAACTGATCTATTTTTGGCAACATCCAAATATGCTGTTAACTTATCTAGTAAATTTTTCATTAAAAATATTGTATCTTTTGAGGCGCCTGGTTGACTCAGTCAGTAGAGCATGTGATTCTTGATCTCTGGGTTGTGAGTTCGAGCCCCACGTTGGGTATAGAGATTACTTAAAAATAAAATCTTTTAAAAATATATATTGCATTTTTAAAAAAGATTTTATTTAATTATTTGAGAAAGAGACAGAGAGAGAGAGGCAGAGAGAATATAAGCAGAAGAGAGGCAGAGGGGGAAGCAGACTCCCCCTGCCAGGCAGGGAGCCCCATGTGGGACTCAATCACAGGACTCTGAGGTCATGCTCTGAGCAAAAGGCAGATGCTTAACCGACTGAGCCACCCAGGTGCCCCTATATTGCATTTTCATCTCTAGATGCTCCATTTGTTTTTTTCCCCATATATTTCATTTTTCTCATTACTGTGTTCATGTTTTCCTCATCTGTTGATTCCACCATCTCTGTCATTTCTGGGTCTGCTTCTATTAACTGATTTTTCTTCTCTTTATAGGTCACATTTCCTGATTCTGGTATGACTAGTGATTTTTGTTTGGATACTGGACATTTTATGAATTTTATCTTACTGGGTAACTGGATTTTTTTTCTTCCTTAAAGCATTGGGCCTTGTTCTAATAGGCAGTTTAGTTACTTGTGGCTCAGTTTGATCCTTCTGAAGCTTGTTTTTAAGTTATGCTGAGTCTAGAGTAGCCTTTCATCTAGAGAATAATTTAACCGCCAGTAAAGTATGGCCCTTCTGAGGTCTCTACTGAATTCCTGCATGATAAACGATGACTGTCCACTCTGGGCGAGGGGAACTTGATATTCCTCCCAGTCCTGTGTGAGGTCTGTTCATCTCTGGGCCCTTGGGGCCTCACAGTACCTGGCCTTGTGAAGCTTTACCCTATGAATGTGCATCTTGTGTTCGGCAAAGACCCAACAGAACCCTTATGCAGATTTCTGGAGGTCTCTTTCTTCATGACTGCCTCCTTTCCACAACTGTGCCTAACAACTTCCAACCACCTCAACCCTGAACTCTGATGTCTGTCATATCAATATAGTGAGACCACTGTGCTCTGCTTGGGAACTCCCTCTGCTCTGTGGTCTGGAAATTGTCTCTAGGAGGAAATTCAGGGCA